CAGTTCTATTACATTCTCCAACTGTTTCAAACTTTTTCCATTTTCACGTCGTATAATAATTGTTTCACAAATCATGGGAAAGAGATAACACCTATTCAATGCTGGCTTCCGCGTCTTGTCCTTCTCCAACCGGCCGTACGAGTGAAACCAAACAGATCTTTGAAGATTCTTCTTGCTGAAACTGTGAATGTGAAAAAGAAATATATATGGCGTATATGGATAAAATTAAGCTTCCTTTTTGTTTTTATTTATGAAATAATCCAAATTAATTAATCACCTAACTTCCAACTTTTATTACATCCAACAAGAACCTCACAGAGATATATAGAAGTATGACTCTATGAAAATCAGGTGTTAAATCATATGACTTAAGTTTAAAATGATGATTCTATTTTAAAAAATAATAAAACTTAAATCATATGACTTAAAGTTCTTTTTTCCTGAACTTATAATTGAGAGATCTGAATAATACACTTAAAAGTAGAATTAGGTATAAATTTACCGTTAAACTTTGCATTTAACCGCTTATCTTAAATTTACCGTTAAAAGATCATTTATGTGAGTGGACGTCCTTAATTTGTCTTCAACAAACTCCACTTGAAGTGGGGAGACGAAACGAAACGGCGGCAAAATATCACTCAGTATTTTGTACTATGAGAAGCTCAAAAAAGTTACTTATGTGTCTTTATCTCGATAAATTGCTTGTCAATCTTGGAGCATTGGATCACATCCTAATGATATAATTTTCCTCCGCAACAATTGTCATTTAAGTTTGATGACAATTGTCATCACATCCTAATGAATAAACACCCAAATTTAATATTTAGTTGAATTTATAAGAAATGAATGGTCATTTAGTGAATTACCATTCATTCTTCACATGAGAAGAATAGTAATTACAAGTTCTTTTCTTTATTTTTTTTTTCATAATTACCTTTTAATACTATAATATAACTAAAATATATTTTATAATAGTTATATCTTATAATATGTAATATAATATAATATATAATAAAAATATCATAATATAATAT